TTTTTTTTTTTTTTAAATGTGATCCTGGGCAGTCTAACTGTGCTATTATCTACCCACAATGTTACCCATGAAGTGAGACCAGAGTAGCCTTCCTGGGAAATGTATGATGTTGCTAGGGAAGCTGGATAACTGCCCAAGTTCTTTTCCCCCAGTAGAAACTTTGAGTCAAAGAGTCTTTCTATCTGGTATTTTTGTTTTTGTTTTTTGAAAGAATTGGGTCAGAACTGACCTTTCGCTATATTAATTTGGAACTCATTGCTTAATTTGATGAGTAGTTTCTTTGACACAGTCACAGAGAAGGCCTGAGTGAAATAATTTTAAGGGAAAATGAGAGGAAGAAGAGTAAGGCATAGTGAGTATAATGATGTAACTCTTTGTAGGATAGTTTGACTGAGGGAAGCAAAAAATAAATGAATAAAAAGGAAGCAACAACTTATCCCAGAATTCATATCCTACTCCTCTTCTCACATTTTTTTTTTTTCTTAACAGATTGGAGGTTTCAGTGGGACGGGAGAATCACAAGGAATTAGGTGTTCAGAGGAATGTATTGAGTAGAGGTGAGGAACTAGGATGTTGAAAAGTAAAGAAGTAAAAAAAAGGAGAGAAGGAGAGGAAGAAAGAGGAAGAAAAAGAGGGAGAGAGAACAGGAATTTTGCTTCATTCTAAAAATGGGTATTGATAATGGCCGATCAATATTTTGTGTATTTAAAATGGAGAACTCTATAAATATTTATTGAGTTTACTTGTTCCGGATCTGAGTTGAAGTTCTGGATGTCCTTATTAATTTTGTGTCTCGTTGAGTCTAAATCTCGTTATGGGTCTTATGTATCTGGGTATTAAGATCTCTTATTGTCCTTTTTACCACTGTATATTTGTTGTTTTGAAATCTATTTTATCAAATGTGAGAATTGCAACTCCTGCTTTTTGTTTATTTATTTATATTTGCTCTCCATTTGGTTGGTAAATTTTTCTCCAACCCTTTGTTTTGAGTCTTTGTGTATCTTTGGATATACCGTTAGGTTTTGGCTGTATCTTTTGATTGGGGGATTTAGTCGATTTAAATTTAGAGTTACTGCCATTTGATGTTAATTAGCTATTTTATCCATTCGTTGATGTAAATTCTTCTTTATGTTGATGCTCTTTACTTTTTGGTATATTTTTAGAAAGGCTCATACTGGTTGTTCCTTTCTATGTATAATGCTTCTTTCAGAAGTTTTTGTAGTCTGGTATTGTGCCAACCTGGGGGACGGGGAGGAGCAGTGCAGTCAAAGTAAGATTGTTCTTCTTACCCTTTTAATTCGGTTTTCATTGAGTTCTGTGGATTAAGTGAGTTGTATCTAAGTATTACGATGTTTGAAAAGACATTCTGGTCTGTGGATAGTTGCTAGTGGATCCTTCTGTTGGCTGGGTGGTGAAAGTGGAACCATAGACTTCCTATTCTACCATCTTGCTGAAGCCACCTCTAGAAAGTCTTCTAAATTCTTCATATATTTAAAAATCTTCCTTGATTTTGCCATTGCAATAACATGGATGAACCTGGAAGACATTGTGCTAAGTGAAATAAACCAGACACAGGAAGACAAATGCCACATAATCTCATTTGTATGTGGGGTCCAAAAATACTCCTATTCTCCATAGAAGCAGAAAGTAGAATGGTGATTACTGAAGGTGGGGAGGTGGAGGAAATGGAGAGATACTGGTCAAAGGGCATAAGGTTATAATTAATGTAGGATAAACAAATCTAGAAATAAAATGGACAGCATAATGAGTAGAGTTAATAATACTGTATTGTATACTAGAAATTTGTGAATAGAGTAGATTTTAGATGTTCTCATCACACACACTAAAAATGGTTAACTATGTGAGGAGATGAATATGTTAATTTGCTTGACCATAGTATTGTTAATCAGTTCACCCTATATATCAAAAACCCATCCTTGAGCTCATGTATGCTTCTCTAGCTACTGGAGTTCTCTTTTCCTCTTCATATCCAAATTTTTCCTCTTTCACCTCTCATTGTTTCTTAACCCATTGCACCTGCTCTTAAGTTATCAAGACAGGGAAACACTTTTCGCTAACACATACTCTTTTATTTGCAACAACATGAACCTCGGACAGGCTTCCAGTCTTTGTCTTTTGTAACTTTCCACTTGGCAACATTTTATACCTGTGATTACTCTCTTTTTTGAAGTATTTGCTTCCCTTTCGGTTGGTGACCCACCCTGCTAGGTTTTTTGATGACTCTCTAGTCATGCCTCTGTCTCCTTTGCAAGGCCCTCTTTCTGAACCATCCCTGTGATGTTGGTATTCCTTAGTTAGCTTTCCTTTTTACCCCACACCACACATGTGCCCTACTTTCACCACGCTAACTCCCACAGTTTCAATTATTGTCTCTGTGCCACAGATTCTCTATTTCTAGTTCTGGCTTTGACCTCTGTTCTAAGCTATAGACACGTATGTCTAGCTCCATATGTCCAAATCTAAACTCCTTGTCTTTTGTTGCAAGCCTGTTCTATTTTTAATTCCCCAAGTTAGTGATGTCACCATCCATTCTACTGCTTACCTCCAACAGATTATCAAGTCTAAGAGATGCTGTTACAATCTTAAGTCTTTCCACTGTTTGTTATCCATGCCGCAATTACTACTATTTCTGCTCAATATTATTTTTCATCTAGAATACCTCAAGCCTCCCCAAAGCTTTTATTGTCTTACTTACTCCCTTTAGTCCGTCCATTCCCTACACTGCCACCAGAGGGAGCCTTCCACAGTATGAATCCGATTATACCAGCAGATAAAAACTTATTAGAGTTTTAATTAAGTCAGATTAAACTGCTTAAAGAATCAGTCCTGTGGCTCAGAAGGTCCTTCATGACATAGTCCCTGTTAATCAGTTCAGGCATCTCTTCATTGATTATCCCCTTGTGCATTATTTTTCAGACATACTAAAACTAATGAAGTTTTAAATTAGTGAATAAAGCATATTCACGCTCTTCTAAGACTAGTAATAAACGAGTGGATAAATTTTGTCTTCTCAATTGATTAGTAAATATACTGCATTTTCTTCTTCTTTGGGGAAGATTTACATATGCTATTATGCATATGATAAAGTAAAAACCTTGTGCATGCCCACTTTCAAAACATGTATTTTTTGGACTGTACTTATGCACAGAATTGCAGGAATGAAAGGTTAAATAGAAAACCAAATAAAATTCAAATAAAGTGATTTTGTTAGGTTATGCTGACAGGGTGGGAGTACTGATGTGGCACTTAGGCTGTCACTTCCACATCCTGCCAGATATTGCTAATCAGCCATGGCACTCTTTTCTAACCCCTATAAACCTTATCACAAGGCTCAACATCATAAACCTTATCACAAGCACATTGGGAAGCCACTGCCAGTGGGAGTGGCTCCTATGATGCAACCTCTTTGCTGTTTGTCTGTGTGGTTATGGCAAGCAATTTTACCCTGAGGACTTCAGGATTAAAAAGCACAGAGGAGCAAATGCTTTCTTGAATTTTTTGTCTCATATTGTTTCCAACAAGGACACAACAATTTGCTGTACATGTTTTTCAATCATAAAGGAATGCTAGTTCAGATATCTTTAAACAGGGTATGCATACTCTTGAGGGTACCTGAAGACTTTCTGGGGGCGTATGGCTTGGATGGCTTTAAGGAAATCATTTTGTAGATGCTCCGCTCCCATTGTGTCTCTTCCTTAAGCTGATTGTCTGAAAACCACTCCTGAAGTCCGTATTTCTCTATTCCTGCCTCCCTTTCACCACTTGCATTACAAAAAAACATTTGCACTTCTCACCCATCCTGAATCTTATGATGCATTTCCCAGGGTATAAAAAAGTTAGGGACTAAATGGAGGAATGTTTGAAAATATAAAGCTCCTGAATAAGAGTCTTAGATTTGGTTAAAAACATATTTACATATGCAATGAAATTACATGTATTGTGTATATATATAATAAAATTATATACAAAAGATTTATATGTATATGACCAATGCCTGATTTTATTTAGGTAACAAAATTATGGAAAGACTCTAGTTAACCTTGTCTCTGTTTATATAAATTAGACTAGAATTCAGAAGTAAAATGAGTGTTATGAAGTACATACTGACTTTTTCCTTTTTTTTTTTTTGAGATGCAGTCTCGCACTGCAACCTCTGCCTCTTGGGTTCAAGCAATACTCCCGCCTCAGCCTTCTGAGTAGCTGCCACCACACCCAGCTAATTTTTGTATTTTTAGTAGAGTCAGGGTTTCACTATTTGGCCAGGCTGGCCTTGAACTCCTGACCTTGTGACCCATCCTCCTTGGCCTCCCAAAGTGCTGGGATTACAGGCATGAGCCACCACACTCAGCAATACTGACTTTTTTTAAAAATTGGAAAACGGAAGTTGGGCTTTTATGGCAAGAAGTGATTTGATTAATACATTTGACAACGAGAACTTGCTTTTCCAGTGAGATTTTATACAGCAGATGTTTCACAAATTATTTCAGAACTACCGCTCATAAGCATATAGCAGACATCTTTAATAAGCTGAATGGGCTAAATCTGCAACTCCGAGTATATTAATATATTTAAATCATCTATCTAATATGCAATATACTTGAAATTGCATCTTTTTAACTATTACATTTGAGATAAAAATTTATATGTCAATCTAAAAACATATAAGGAGGTGTATAATTTTTAAAATTGTGTCAAATAAGTTGACAATATTTTATGTACCTTACAAAGCAAGTTTAATATTCCATAATATTTTTAAAACAACAAAATTATGCTTCGAATGATAGAGTTCTTGAGTACTTTAAGGGACTGTGGTGTTATGATTTACACTGGTTTTCATCCATGGTTCCTGGCTCATAACTCGCATATCTCTGTTACAGCCTTTTGCGTTATAATGCTGGGTATGTTGGGACTCAGGGGCAGGCCTCTGAACTTATTCTGCTTTCTTTCCACTCTAATGTTCCTCCTCTTTCTGACCATAGGTCTTCAGACTCTCAGGAGCAGGTTCCATGCTATACCTGGGAGGAGAAATGGTAATGTCATAAAATCTCCATAAAAACCCAAAGGACGGGGTTAAATGAACTTTCAGATAGCAGAACCTGTGGAGGTTCCTGTAGGGTGATGCGCCCAGGGAGGCCATGGAAGCTCTGTGCCCCTTCCCCCATGCCTTGCCCTATGTGTCTCTTCATCGGTATCCTTTATAAACCTACAGATGTAAGTAGGTATTTCCCTGAGTCCTGTGAGCTGCTTCAGCAAATTAATCAAGCCCAAATAGGGGGTTGTGGTAACCTCAGCTTAAAGTTAGTGGGTCAGAGTTCTACAAGCTGGGACTTGGGACTGGTGTGTGTGTGTGGAGAGGGGGCAGTCTTGGAGACCGAGCACTCAACTTATGGGATCTAACACTATCTCCGTGTAGATACTGTCTGAATTGAATTGGAAGGCTTCCGGCTGGTGTCTGCTGCTTGGCATGTGGAGAAAACCACCCACGTATTTGGTCACAAAAGTCTTCTGTGTTGATTGTTGTGGTGTGAGAGTAGGGGAAAGGCATGGTTTAGAGGGAAGTTTTCCTCTACAACAGGGACCATAGAGACACCTTCCTCTAAACAATGAGAAAACTGAGGTGCGGAGAGGTTACTGACTAGCCCATACTCTAACATAAGGATAGATCCCATCTATTTCTCCTGATTTGTCAGACCACTGCTCATTATACCCACTACAAAGTGTCTATAAAATTGGTATTGACCTTCCACAAACTTTGATTATATAAGGGAGCATGAATGTACTATAATGTATATGAAGCACACATGCATACACTCTGTGTCACAAACTTGCCTAATAACAAAAATATTTATAATAAACATTAACTTAACATTTGATTACGAGCAATTCTTCTCAGCTTCTTAACATTTGGAAGGGGTTTTAGCAGTTATTTTTTAAGTACAGAGCTTTTAAAATGTTATCAAGGGAATTATGAATTGATTTTCCTTTTTCTTTCAATAATTTTCTCTTTAGCAAATAAAGGCTTTTAAAGCTGTTGCAAATACTGTTAATTTACTAATTAGCCATCACAATACCTTGTGGAAGAAAAAAAGCCTCAGGAAATGAAATAAGACTCCTGGGCATTAGTCCAGGATATACTACTAATTTACTGTGTGGCCTTGCACCTCAGTGGGTGTGTATTTGTGCGTGTTAAACTGCAAGGGTGTTATATAGGTTTTGCTCTGAGGAGCAACTCCAATTGATGATAATTCCCTGGAGTTTTGCATACTGAATGATTCTAAGGCTACTTCTGGCATTCATGAGAAATGTTGCTGACTGGTCGAGAATATTTCTTGTGGGTGTAGATGGAGAGTGATATATATTTATCAACCCATATAATGTAGTTATCATATCATACCTATTTGTATCATCCATATGATACAAAGAATTACGTTGACAGTATTTGGTGTTTTGGTGCACTGGGGTATGTGTCTTCTCCTCTTAAACAGGGATTAATCAAAGAAAATAAGAAATCAAGAGCAATCCTATTCCTTTAATTAGCGTTGGGGTGGTTTCCATTTGGGAATTTTTAAAAATAACTGCCAAGAACACCTCACCATTCCCCTAGATTTATAAGTCACGAGAGACCTACTGATGAGAATTAGAAATGCATGTATCAGAGTTTGAGGGAAGGCCAATGAAGTTGTCACTTGGGGGACAATTCTGTTGTAGGTAGAACCTCTCAGATTGAGTCTTGAGAACATCTTGATTAAGTCACCATTTCTACAAGAGAATTGTCAGTATTCTCTTGGAGGTAAAGGAACAAGATTTGCTTGGTTGAACCAGAGGTTATTGTCTCTCGATGACAGTCTCACTGCTGTTGAGTTCACATGTACCTGATGCATAAGAACATTATACTTAATTAATAATGGGTGGTAGACATTTTATGAGTCTCTTATCCAGGATACCCACTTACTAGTATCATGGTACCTGAGAGGTGAGCTTATTACTGGTGAGAAGATGAGTGTGGATTATAGTTCTGGAAATAGAATGAGTTGAAGTTGGCTTCAAAAGGACTAAATGGCATGCTTTACTGGCTTAATGGGCAGTGTACTATAGTCATTGGGGGGCTTTCTTCTATTTTAATATAGAATACTGTATAGTTTTTGTGTGGCTGTGTTGTGATTAAGCCACATTCCTGTGAGTCATTAATTTTGGTGTTTGTGGAACTTGGGGAGGATAGTACTCTGACCTATAAAGGTTGACAAGTCCTAGATCCTCCTGGAAACTTTGCTGTGGCTAATGGGTGCTGAGTGACACAGAATTCTAAGACATTCAACACACAAAAAAGATACTAAAGGAGCTCTTTACAAACATTCTAAAATGGAGGCAATAGATTTATATGCCAGCATGTTTCCTTCTTTCCTTCTCCTTATTAGATTTGAAATGCTATGGGGAGGAGGCTGAACTGGGGATGTGCAAGGCCTATGAGCTACGTAAACTCATCAAAGGTGAATCTTAGGGTTTGGATTCGTTATTCCACCTTGTATGCTCCGCTTTTCAGACTCTTAGAGACCTGCTTACACAAAGAACCAGCACCATGGAATAACAGTAGGCTAGGATTCTGAAATCCCTCTCTGACAGAGACTACTTATTGCTCTTCATTAACCATTCTCCTTTTCCTTTTGAATAATATAATCCCTCTCCAGCCAGTGTTAGCAGAGCAGGTGGTCACCCACCTAAGAACATACTTGTTTCTACGTGTAGCCATGCAAATAAATTCAATCCAACAGAATTTGAGCAGAAATGTGTGTAACTTCTAGGTTATCTTTATATATATATATATATATATATACACACACACACACACACACACACACACACACATACGTGTGTGTGTGTGTGTGTGTGTGTGTGTTACCGTGTTTTGGGGGTTTCTAAAATTATAGCATCTAATTAATACAGAAAATGGTACCCAGAAGTGGGGTCATACATAACAAAACCAGAACTATGCTTAGCAGTCTGGCAGTGGTTTGCAAGGCAGCAGGTAGTGTACACTCTGTTGATGCTGACTTCAAGCTGTTGAAAAATATTTGATACAATTTTGTCTACAATAACTTGGAAAGCAGAGCACATGCTCACTGAGTCTGTTGGTCTAGGGTAACTACATGAAAAAACTCAAAAGTTTGATGTTTATAAACTCTTTCTTGTTGCTTTGTGCAAAAGAGAGGTGAAGGCAGCCAGATCTGCTAAAGGAAAGTCCCTCTGCCTATAACCTTCAGGTTAAATTTGGGGATTCACTGGGTTACAAAAATCAACTCTTCTGTAGCAAACTTTTGAAGATAAAACTGTCCTGCTCACCTTTGTGTTTTCTGGTCACCCACTGGGGAATGATGAGAATTGGAGCAACCTTAAGAGCCACGTGTAGGGCACAGTAGCGATGGCTCTGCCAAGCCAAGATTATTTACATCTAGACTGTGGGGAGAGAGTAAGACACCTCTATTTCATTCAAGCTACTATATTTTTGTGTTGCTTTGTTTGAGGTGCTTCGTTAGAATAGACTAACTTCTTTCTTCTCATATTACTCAGATAACCCAGGTGTGTACTTGGAAGTAGCAACAGAACGGCTTGCTGAGATATTTCTACTAGATGCTGAGGAAGTATAATAGCATATTACCACATCCCAGTGGAGAAAATCACACTAGTGATGGGGTTGCTTGTGTCTGTCCTGAACAGTGTTAGATTAAAAAATGACTTTTTCCCTCAATCTGGCTATTATTAGCTTGATTTTTTCTGGTCAGACTTTTAATTAAATGTGTTTATATATCTTATTAGATTATTTTGTGGGGCTGGAGGACATTCTGTGCAACTCAGTATGCACTTTTATAATCAGACCAATCTCTGATATTCTTGGAGAACCTCATTGAATTTGAATTAAAAAGTTAGTACTGGATGACCTTCAATGAACAAAAATATGGAATGAGATCCACCAATTAATGAATGCTGTGGGTATTCTCCAATAATAATGGTACAATAATAATTTCAAATGTACATAGTTAATGTCATTCTTAAAATAAATTTCTGTTTTATACTGCTGAAGCTGAAAATAGAGCCCAGCTCATTTGGCCACCTATATGATGATCCATTTCCACATTCATATGAGATACTCAGGGGAGTCATATTGTAACTTACCATTTTAACTTACTAAAGTGTGGTGATCTAATTCATAGTGTGGTTTTAGTGAGGCAAAGATATACTCTGGTTATTAATTATGAACTGATTTGAGGTATCACACATACAAGAAAACATGTTATAAGTATGATGAATGGTTGGAAGAGGTACATATGTTTATATTCATAAACACATCAACATTCCCAAGACTATATGGAGGTAGGCAGTCTTCATAGATGCAATAACAAATTGATTCATGATATTGTAAGACTGAACCCACAAAGATATTCTAAAGTTGGTACTTCAAGATGCTTTGGAACAGGCCAATAATTATATATGCCTATGGAGAAGACACAACAAAAGTGGAATTTGAGAGATATCAACATAAAGCTATTTTCCTTATCAACAAACTTTTCCACTATGAATAACTGATCTCCAAGAGCTTGGATTTAGAATTGTAATCAATAAGGGACATTCACAGATAGGTTATGAAGTCATGCTATTTAAAACACTATCATGCACTGCTCTTTAAATAAAGAGATCATGATTGTGTTTGAATAGTAGCAAAGAATGCCTGCTGAATTGCTGTAGGCAGTAATCACACTGGTTGTATTGCCTTATAGTCTGTCTTCTCTCTTTCTCTGATAGTGAGTGACATTTTCTCTGGTGGTGAGTGGCACATATTTGCAAGATGGCAATTTTAACTTTTAGTATTAAATTTAGAAATACCAGGCTCGAATGCACTGAGTTAGCATATCAGTTCAAGTACCAACTAATTTACTATCTATTCAAATCTGGCACATAATTTTTTTATGTATACAAATCTAGGCTGGGTGTGGTGGCTCATACCTGCAATCCCAGCACTTCGGGAGGCCGAGGCAGG